CGCGCCAGCCGGCGGCGATGCGAAGGAGCCCCCGGCGCTCTCCGACTTCCGCGCCGAGCCGCGCGCCCTTCCGCTGGCCGAAGTGCTGGCGCCTGGTGCGTGGCAGGACTTCGACCTCGTCGCGGCGTCCGCGGGCCAGGTCTTTGCGCAGGGGGTTGCGGCGGGCTGGCGGCTCGCTGTTCTGGGGGCTGAGGCCGCGGGCGAGCACCAGCGGGCCGACCCCTACGACCTGTTGCTGGACGCGCTGGGCATCGAGAGCTGCGACGGCGGGAGCGAGGGCGGCGGCGACGGGGACGACGGCGGCGCCTTCGGGGACCACGCCGTGCCCGCGGCTGGCGAGTCCTCGCCGCTGCTGTTGTCCGTCAGTGGCGTTCTGGCGATGGGCCGTCAGATCCGTCAGCCACAACGACAGCTGATCGACGACGACAGGTAGGCGGCCAGGGGCTAGGACATGACGACGGGATTGCTGCTACTGCCTGTCTCCCGCCACCGCTTGCGTCGGCGCTTCAGTGGAGCGATCGCGACTACCTCGTCTGCGAACGAAGCCGGCGAAGCCGCACTCCTCCGTGAGACGGAGGGGAAAACGGCGTCGAGCTGCCGCGGGATTCGCTGAGCTGGCCGTGCCGACCGAGGACGCCGAGGGCGAAGTGCGGCGATGGCTCGCCGACTGGTCAAAGGTGGCTCACATTTGCTCCCTGCAGGAGCAGCTGGGGGCTGCTAAGAAGGAAGTGCAGCTCCTGCGCTGGAAGGCAGGGTGGCTTGAGATTGACTCCGTCGGGGTGAGGTGCAGGGCAGGCCTGCCGTGCGTCCTCCAAGAGTCTGGGGGCCGCCTCGCCTGGCATGAGTTCTAGGAGCGGGGGCAGGGACCTCGGCGTGGCCCGTTGTGTGTTTCAGCCCCCACGTGAGGTCAGGCCCGTTTGGCTTTGCAATGCGTGTGCTGGCCTCACCTCGAGGTTTGTGAGGCCCTTCGTCACTTGTTGAAGAGGGTGGGCCTCGCGTCTCTTTTGCAGCGAGGCAGACTTCCTGGCCGTGCCGTGCCTCAGTCTCCGCTGCTGTCTTGATTTCTTTGAAATCTTGCGCTTCGCGCGTTTGGCGCTTCGCGCCCTCCCCTGCGGAGGCTCCTTCGGGGCCCCTAGGGTTGGCCCTTGAGGCCCTGGGGCCAACGGGCTCCGTGGGCCTCGGGCTCCTTTTATCCTTCATAGGCCCCGCAGCTCACAGCTCACACAAGAGCACGGCAGGCCACACAGGAGCACGGCAGACCACACAGGAGCACGGCAGACCACAAAGGAGCACGGCAGACCACACAAGAGCACGGCAGACCCCACAAGAGCACGGCAGACCCCACAGGAGCACGGCAGACCCCACAGGAGCACGGCAGAGCAGACCCAAAAGGAGCACGGCAGACCACACAGGAGCAAGGCAAACCACAGGAGCACGGCTCCGTAGCCATTTTGGCTCAAAAGGAGCACGGCTTACGGCAGGCCCTCGGGCGCGCGGGCGCGCCCGCCAGAGGCCATGGTACACACCGGGTGCGGAGCGGCTTGGGCGGCTGCGTCTGCCCGCACCCTGGCTCGGCGCTTGCGGCGCGCGCGCCGCCAGGAGCTCGGGCTCAGCAGGGCCGCAGCGCTGGCGCAGCGGACCAAGGTCCTGCGGCGTGCGCTGGCGGCACACTGGCAGCTCGCCGACGTCCTCGGCGGCTTCGCGCCCTGCCACGGCGACGCCCTGGCAGCTGTGAGGCTGCTCGGCGCCGCGCCTGCAGTGCTGATCGATGCCCAGTTCGACCTCGAGGAGGGCAACTGGGCGCGGCACGCGCCGCCTCCAGGACAAGCTCGTCTGCGGCCTGTCCCCACCGAAGCGCGCCGGGCTGAGGTTGCCGAGGCGGCCCTGGCGCAACAGGTCCTGGGCGCAGTGCCGCTCGCGGCGCCCCTGGCCTTGGAGCGGCCGCCTGGAGTGTGGCACGAGGTCTCCTCGCGCGAGTGGGGCAACGCGCCAGCCGGCGGCGATGCGAAGGAGCCCTCGGCGCTCTCCGACTTCCGCGTCGAGCCGCGCGCCCTTCCGCTGGCCGAGGTGCTGGCGCCTGGTGCGTGGCAGGACTTCGACCTCGTCGCGGCGTCCGCGGGCCAGGTCTTTGCGCAGGGGGTTGCGGCGGGCTGGCGGCTCGCTGTTCTGGAGGCCGGGGCCGCGGGCGAGCGCCAGCGGGCCGACCCCTACGACCTGTTGCTTGACGCGCTGGGCATCGAGAGCTGCGACGGCGGGAGCGAGGGCGGCGGCGACGGGGACGACGGCGGCGCCTTCGGGGACCATGCCGTGCCCGCGGCTGGCGAGTCCTCGCCGCTGCTGTTGTCCGTCAGTGGCCTTCTGGGCGAGGCCGTCAGCCACAACGACAGCGACGACGACAGCGTAGGCGGCCAGGGGCAGGAGCATGCCGACGGCGATGCTGCTACTGCCTGCTCCGCCACCGCTGCGTCGGCGCTCAGTGGAGCGATCGCGACCTACCTCGGCGTGAACGAAGCCGCACTCCTCCGTGGAGACGGAGACGGCGGTCGAACTGCCGCGGGATTCGCTGAGCTGGCCGTGCCGACCGAGGACGCCGAGGGCGAGGTGCGATGGCTCGCCGACTGGTCGAAGGTGGCTCACATTTGCTCCCTGCAGGAGCAGCTGGGGGCTGCTAAGAAGGAAGTGCAGCTCCTGCGCTGGAAGGCAGGGTGGCTTGAGATTGACTCCGTCGGGGTGAGGTGCAGGGCAGGCCTGCCGTGCGTCCTCCAAGAGTCTGGGGGCCGCCTCGCCTGGCATGAGTTCTAGGAGCGGGGGCAGGGACCTCGGCGAGGCCCGTTGTGTGTTTCAGCCCCCACGTGAGGTCAGGCCCGTTTGGCTTTGCAATGCGTGTGCTGGCCTCACCTCGAGGTTTGTCAGGCCCTTCGTCACTTGTTGAAGAGGGTGGGCCTCGCGTCTCTTTTGCAGCGAGGCAGACTTCCTGGCCGTGCTTGCGTGCCTCAGTCTCCGCTGCTGTCTTGATTTCTTTGAAATCTTGCGCTTCGCGCGTTTGGCGCTTCGCGCCCTCCCCTGCGGAGGCTCCTTCGGGGCCCCTAGGGTTGGCCCTTGAGGCCCTGGGGCCAACCGGCTCCGTGGGCCTCGGGCTCCTTTTAGCCTTCATAGGCCCCGCAGCTCACAGCTCACAGGAGCACGGCAGACCACACAGGAGCACGGCAGACCCCACAGTAGCAAGGCAGACCCCAAAGGAACACGGCAGACCACCGGAGCACGGCAGACCACACAGGAGTACGGCAGACCCCACATGAGCACGGCAAATCCCAAATGAGCACGGCAGACCACAAGAGCACGGCAGACCACACAGGAGCACGGCAGACTCCACAGGAGCACGGCAGACCACAAAGGAGCACGGCCGACCACACAGGAGCCCGGCAGACGCCACAGGAGCACGGCAGACGCCACAGGAGCACGGCGGAACCCACAGGAGCACGGCAGACCGCGCGCGGGTACAACATAAACGCGCTTTTTTGTTGTACCCCGAACGCCGCTGGCGTTTCCCCAACAGGAGCACGGCAGATCTCACAGGCGCGCGGCAGACCCCAAATGAGCACGGCCGACCACAGGAGCACGGCAGACCCCAAATGTGCACGGCAGACCCCAAAAGAGCACCGTAGACGCTCAGGAGCACGGCTGACCACACAGGAGCACGGCAGCCTGGGCTGGTTCCGGCGCCGGCCGGCGCCGGAAAATTGAATTTCCGACGGCTGGTGCGAAAAAAAAGGCCACTCAAGACATATTTTTCTTCGAAAATATTGATTTCTGCTACGGCGCCCTGGAACCCCTTCCGGGCCGATTCCGGCACCCGGGCCGGCGCTCGAGCCAAACGCCCGGGCCGGCACCCGGGGCAGCGCCCGGGCCGGTTCCGGCGCCGGCCGGCGCCGGAAAATTGAATTCCGAGGCGGTGCCGAAAAAAGGCCACTCCAACACATATTTTTCTTGCGAAAATATTGATTTTCTGCTCCCGGCG